GAGGGCTGGGGGGGGGGGGGGGTCCGGGGAGCGCCCGACCATATTTGTCTCAAACCTCCCCCCTCTTCACCCTAAAGACATGACAATGGTACTGAAACAGAACGTCGCACACAGCTTCCAGCACATGTAGGATGGGCACATCCCAACTCCTCGGCAACAAGTCGTGGGAACAGCCATCCAAACACGGGTTATCGGTTATTCCGGGCTGTTGTTCTGGGGTGCCTGGCTTCGACAGCACATTGCTCCGGTAGCAAGCCCGAGCGGAGACCCGTCGCCTGCATCCGCGCCTGCTTTGCGAGTGTGCGACTCGAAAGACATGCAAGAAAAGCTGAAGGTATAAACAAGATGTCGACTTGAGCATTTTGACCATTTAGAGGAAACCAAACGGGCACCGCTGTTGCCTCCGTGGCGAGCGTTTCCCCGGATTGCGAAGCCTCAAGTCATGAATACGACCAGGACCAGCTCGAGCAGGAGAGGTCCCGTTCCAAGTCTTTGCCACCTCGGCAACATCAGCGCAAATGACAAAATGGGAGTTTCAGAAAGAACCAGAGGACCCTAAAACAGATCGTAAACAGTAGGAACCTGATTGCGAAAGCCCCAAAACAGGACCGTTGATTTTGGCAAAGCCCCAAGTTGATTCAGAACATGCGTCCCTCTTCGGGATGCTATTCGCTGCCATTCACAGGCAAGGGAGGTCCTTGATATCTCAGAACAGGGCAGGAATGCAGGGTTGAACCTTTGGAATGCTGACAGCCTTGCTACCAAAGACATAGCGCACCAAATCCCCAACATGATGAAAGCAACCTGTCACCGAATTAGGCAGACTGATCCTACTATCCGGCTCCCGGTCAGCTGCAGCTGAGGAGAGTGCGGTGATGCCTGAGAGTTAGATCAGCCTCACCGGACGCCCTGCCGAAAAAGATCCTGACCCGAGTCAGGGCTGGGCACTCAAATCCTAGTCGGAAGAACTACCGCACTTCGCTAGCCTCATCAGCCTTTAACAAGGCTGGGAGTTCTTTCCACCAAAAGGCCCCGCGAAGCTTTGAGATGAGCTCAGAGCCGGCTTTACACAGCTTTGAAGTTTCCTGTGGGCCACCCTGACAAGAGTGACTGTAGCATCCCAGAGTTTTACAAGGATTTCACTTTTGTGTTGACGCTTGTACGGCCTCTAGTGGGAATTTGAGGAACTTAGATGTCGGGATTTGTTTTTTGTTTGGCAGAAGGTCTGCATCATGCCGTGGTGAGTCCCGCACTTTGGATGTGCACGTCATCCGGCCTGCCGTGCGAGCCGTTTTGGCGAGGAATTGCCCGGTGCAGTTTCGGGCGATGGGCTCCCCTTGCCGGTGCATGAGCCAGATGAGCGAAGCTTCTCGTAAAGGCTGGTGATGGTTGGAGCTTGATATGGCTACTGTTGGCAATACGGTCTCACTCAGATTTGACATCGCATTTTGTTTGTTTCCCTTGACAACTCTGTGGTCCTAGTCCTAGCACGCCATGGAAGAGCTGGCGCCGGAGACCGGAGAGGAGCGATGCTCGACATGGCACGTGCATTGCACTGAAAGTTCCAAAGGTGACATACCCACTCATCCACTCGGCCAAGCAAGTGGCCAGACATTGATAGTATCCGAGATGAAATTTCAAACGGCTGCATCGGCGTGCATGTGCACTGGAACATGCCTGATGTTCAAATAGTGAAAGTCGAATGCGTTCTCATGAAGGAAGGACTGTGTAGAACTGCAGAATGCGGCACGCCTTCAACAATGAAATTGTTCAAGAGTTTTTGTTATATACACGTTCTAGAGCATAGTGGTGCTTGAAGCAAGTCTGCTAGCAGTGCCAAGCATAGCGCCGTGCAAAGGACGAGGAGGCACCCCTTCCTTGCGGCGGACAGCTCAGCTTTGTCGTGGAAGTCATTTGCATACATTCGCATGGGCTACACGATGTATTGCAACAGTTACCGTACATACAGAACTCTTTCTGTTTTGTGGATTGGATTTGTTTCGTTGCAGATCGCAGGTTCGAGCGTTCAGCTTCGCTCTGATATTGGAAAGGACTGAATCCAAAGGATTTCGGAATTCCGAGCTTGCTGCCGAGCACACCGCCGTAAACCTTCAGTTGTGCAGTGCTGGGTGTTGCCGTTTGTTTGCTTCGACGGAGACTGCGCTCTGGGCGCTTCGGAGCAATGCTGATCGACCGTAGTCGTTTGGGGAGACATGATACCGAGATGCACATCTGCCGGGATGGTCTTGCCCGCTTCAACAACACGCAGAGAATTTCGGAGGCCGAGGCGGCCCTCCGGGGAGCACTTGCTCCAGCAAATCGCATCGCCTCCCGGTGCCTCTCTCATTCGAGGCTTTCTGACCAAGCCCGTGCACGCCGTACAAGCATCAGCTGCACTGCAGCTGCACCAGGGCTTCGGGTCCAGTGCATAAGACTTGTGCACGACAGGGGATGAGAAAAACTGAAACACTGTGCTTAACACGGGCGGGTAGCCGTCGAAACATCACCCGCGGCCAGGGTACACTCAACCGACTCCTGCTGGACGTGACGACGAAACACTTTTGAGTTGTTTCAGGGCAATGCCTGGAGCCACGGGGCCGCGGTTGCAGATGCACGCCAACATTTCATGTAATAGAGGCACACTTGTCTTTCACAAGAGAAAGTCCTCGGCAACTCGCACATGTCCAGGATAACACACACTCAGGTTTTGCAGCCAATGACTAGACCGGACAAGGCACTGCTTGTCTCCAGCAGGCTGCACGTGTTGAATGAAGGTGAAGACTTGCTTATTGCTGCAAAATGCGCATAGTTTCCTAACCGGCCCTTCACGGCTTCTTCGACCCTTCAGATACAAAGCAACGTCCAAGAAACACCGTTTGCAAAGCCGTCACCTTGCCTTCCATCATCAGGGCAGTGGAACCCTGCAGCAGCCTGGCCTGCAGCCGACAAAGAAGGTCATGCGCCCCGCAAGCTCGGTGTGTGGAACCCTATCCCTACCAAGGATGGAAGTTTATCGCGATTTGCTACTTGCTACTCAGCTGCGACAGATCCTAGCGAAGCTACGAATCAGAAGGAGGCTTTCTAGAACAGAAACCAAAGCAACAAGAGTCTCAGCAGCATTCCTCGGAGCAAGCATGAAGAAAAACAGTCTCGTTTTCACGATTTTTCAAGAACGGCAGTGATAACAAGCATCATGATGCAAAAGCACTGTGTGCACGTCGTTCTATGTGCCGCTGTGCCAAGTCCCTGTACTTAACGCTTGTGGGGTCCCGGCTTGGAACTGGGGCAACCCGCCTCCGAGATCCGAGTGCTGATCATGCTGACTCATGCTGACAGTTTGCGAAGCCAAGGCTTCCGATCACCATAGGTGGGCTGAACGGCTGCCACTGGGCCGCGGCGACATTTCATTTCCAGGTGTGCACCTCGTTGTTCTGGGAGCATGTTGGGATGTCAGCTTGACTCTTACCAACGCTTCAGCAAGACTTGGACCCAGGAACACTCCGTGAGATGTCCGAGTTTGCCCAGTTTAATTGCTTCGGAAATTTAGTGTATGAGACGCTTCCCGTAGGAGAAATGGTCCAATTGATTTTGCCGGGCAAGTTTGCGGAACACCGGCACCTGAGGATGGCCAACGGGCTGCGAAGTCCATCTACAACCCTGGTTAATTCCCTCAGCACCTTCATTTCCAGACATTTTAACTCTAGAATAAATTTAAGAAAATTGTTTAGATCTCCACCGCACTGAAGAGTCACTGAAGTGTTGGACCGAATGCCTGCATGCTTTTTTGTGGGTCGCGCGTTCTTTTGCCCTGTGTTGTTGCCGTTTCGGACTGAGGGGGGAAGTTATAACATTTGCCTTAATCGGGGAGCAGGTTTGAGCCCTCAGCTTCTTATGACATTCATGGCTGGTGAGCCCGCGGCTAGTCCTGCTCTAGGACTCTCATTCACTGAATCGTGGGCTTGGGCTCACCTGAGTCACCGGAACTCGAATCGCTAGACTCTTGCCCCCCAGCAAGGGGAGTGTGTGGGAGGGGGGTCAGATTTCAGGCTTTCGTTGCGGGGTGGGCACCTCGTGGTCGAGAGGGTTCTGAAAAAGCAAAAGGGTTGGGCAGCTCATACGGGGCTTCCAGCTTGCCTGGAGGTACTACAGGTTTATAACGACAGTTTGATTTGTAGTGATTTCAACTCAACGCTAACGGTGTTTCCAAACGTGCGAAGCGCAAAATTGCCGCCCGTGGCTGTTTCCGGCCTGGTCTGGTCGCCCAAGTATGAATGGTGCGAAGACTTGGGTTTCGTGCACTTGCTGACTGCAAGGCTTGATGTTGCACTGACGAAAACACGAACAGCGTTCCTCCTCCTCCTCCTACTACTCCTACTCCTGCTACTACTACTACTACTACTACTACTACTAGCACTCCTCCTCCTCCTACTACTCCTACTCCTACTCCTGCTACTACTACTACTACTACTACTACTACTACTACTACTACTACTAACACTACTAACACTACTAACTCTACTAACTCTACCAACTCTACTAACTCTACTAACTCTACTAACTACTACTACTACTACTACTACTACTACTACCACTACTGCTGCCACTGCTGCTACTGCTATTGCCGCTGTTGCTGCTGCTGCTACTTTTGCTACAGCCGCTGCTGCTACTGCTCCAACCGTGACGACCATGGCGATTATGACGACAGTAGCTGGTGCTGCTGCTGCACCTTCGCCTGCTGTTTATGGCAAATGCCATCACTACCGCTACGGCTACCGTTGCTTCTTACTGCCGTGATGGGTCTGATGGGACTTGCAGGAGAACGGCTGGGACCTCTCTTACATTTCTGCCATCACGTTCGCTGGCTTCATGCTTCTTGACAGTGCATTTATCGGCTTTTTCATCCACAACACCTACATCTGAAAAGACGTTCCTTTCATGAGCCTTGAGAAGCTTGAGAGCTGTTGCGTGAAAGGGGTCATGGCATGCAAGCAGAGGGCAGATCACGCTCGAAAACACTGTCGCAGAAGCAAAAATCTTCATGCTTGTACGAAAACCGGTTTCCCCGTGATGCAAGACCACCCCTGAACACCCAATCTCCAGAAGCGGCTTGTTTTCAACCTAACCCTGGAGACAAGGGTTCGCCGAAACCACCACACCCTGCAGACCAAACCTTACCCGATACTTCGAGCGGGGTCTTTTGAAAGACTATGGCCCTACCAGAAAAACCAGTGAACCCGATACTCCGAACTCCGGCTAGCTGGAACCCTAAAGACAAGTAATCTCAGTCCTACTTCTTCCTAAACCCTGAGCCCCAAGCCCTGGACCCATGAACAGCAACTGGATGATCTCAGTTGCCGACCTTTTGTCACACGAAGCCTTGCCTCTTGGTTCACCATGGTTTAGTGGGGGCCGGTGTCCGGGATTGGGCTCCAGGGTTCAGGCAATGTCGAGGGTTTCAGTAGGAGAACACTCGGCGTTTTTAGGATGACTGCCACGTGGCATTGATATTGGAGCACGTGCTGGTTTGCGGCCTTATAGATGTGGATTTTGAGGGTTGTTTGTGTTGAAAATTGGAGAGACAACACACTGTAACACTCATCATGTGTGCAGTCAGTCCTATCAGCAGGGGGGCTTTGAAGGGACACCTCCGGAGACATGGTGCAGAAACAACCGTCGCCTTTCAGATGAATGTGCAGGGGACCCCCGTTGGGTGTTTGTTTGCAAGGGGGGTCGGTATTTGGCGTATGCTATACAGGGTGGGAGACAGTTTGTGTGTAATTCTCCTTCTTGCGCCGGCGTTGTGGTGATTCATGAGGCCAATGGCCACTGTCAATCCGACAGGTATGAGAATTGCTACTAGAAGTATCTAGAACCAG